TTTGATTACCCGCGGCCTAAGGTTTACAAACAAATTAAATGGCAATTGTGTCTAAAATGTAAGTTACTCAATATTAACTGCTTGTTTATTGAACTGTTGAATAAAAGCAGTGGCACATCATAACCTCGGTTTGATTACCCGCGGCCTAAGGTGTTATACGTGCAGCAACAGCACTCAATTGCTTATGTTAAACAGGTCCCATGATATATTAATCTTATATCCACATCTACAAACCTCTGTCTGTCTCTGTTTCTCTGTTTCCTTTACATCTCTCTGTCTGCAGTCTTTACTGTCTACAGCTATCACACATACCCCATAAAACCGATGAAGCGAGAGAGATGCAGAGAGAGCTTTCTACCGCTCCATCCCCCACATACTCCATCCACATTCCCTGCCACTTAAAGCTTTTTTTCCATTATTCGTTCACAATGGTCACCAAAGTAAGGTTGTTTGGTTATGATTAGTGTTGTTATAACAAAACAAAGGGACCAATATTTTAAAGAATATTCTGGAGATTATAAAATATAGCATATACATTCGATATAGGCCTATAAGAATATCCCTACAAATACACATAGGCCTATTAGCCTATTTTGGTACTGTACCATCTGTACTGTATCATATAGGCCTATTATGTAAAGACATGTACATTGTTATCTGTGTATTGAGAACAGAGTTGAGTTATTCTGTAATAGTCACTTTTATGAATGTATCCGCTAAATGACTGCTAATATAATCATGTATACTGACAAGTTGATTTTGATACTGAGAACCCATTTAGAGTGATATAAAAGTCATTATTTGCTTTATTTTGGCTGGTCAGAAAGACACAGTTTTTGCTTTTGTTTAAATCAATCCTTGCAATATTTAGCTAAATTAATTCATTATATAATTTTATAAAATGTAATTACAAATAATAGGCCTGTCAGCATAACAATTTTAGTTACAAGTAAAAAATTCACGTCACAGGTTTGCTTATTCAATAAATAAAACTTTTACTGCTCCTCACTGACCAATAGGGGGCGGCAAAGACTTTTATTACAGTATTGTACTAATGGAAGTCAGACTTGGACTTCTCTTAGGCAATTTGAAACAAAAACACTGTAGTTGTTGGTTGAGAGGTAAAGATATCATATTTGCCTGTGAACACACGCGCGCGCACACACACACACACACACACACACACACACACACAGCAGTAGCAGTAGCCTAGTAGCAGTAGTAATAAAAGGCCTATATGTGGCGTTCTTCGTCATCTTTATTATTCTACAGACCTACCAGATAAATGACGTGACAATGGGTTTATCCACTAAGTGACGCTATAGTGAACAGCTCACACAAAGTTTATGCATCGCATAAACCCACAATTTTTCTATTATCTGACCCGTTCAACTCAGTGGAGCTCTCTGCTAATGAGCTGGTGATCTCAGGGGTGTTACTGTAAATGAAAGAGAAGAGACGTAGGCTACAAAATGTGCAGTGCCCCAAGACCAGAATTAAATGGAAGGATATCATATTTTTGTCTGTTTTATTGTTTATACTGGCCCAAAAATTATTTGAACATTCGTGAATATAAAGAGAGAGTTAGGAGAACTTAGGCTACATATTACTGTTTATGAACATGCAATGAGATAGCCTAATATGCAGGTCGATCGGCCGTAGGCCTATAGACGGCTTTACTGTAATTAGGCATATTTAACCTAACAAACAGAATTATATTGATAACACATAAACAGAAAATGAAATAAGACCGATACACATAGAAACTTACTTTTAGATGCACGCACACGATTAAATAACACCACTTTATGAAATTACACTTTCCAGCATATTCCAATTACTCGGTTATTCCACAAGGGGGCGTTGACAGTCCATAGTCATTGAATACATCAACTCTCAAGAAAGCCCTTATATAGCCTAAATCTATTACCTGAAGTGCTAAATACAAGGCCCTTTGTAACAATTACAAAATGTGTGATTGATTTGTTCTGCGTAAGATGTAGTGCACCATTAGAGGTGTCATGATTGTTATTTATTTGTTGTTTTTATTATTGTCGTCGTTTCAGGTTTCTGTAAAAATTCAAGATATATTCTGTTATTATGAGTGACATCCAAAGTGTTTTGATGGGTGTCAATATTTGTCAATAAAATATGCATTTTTATATTTATATATTTTTTAAAGAGATAGGCCTAATGTGTCAAGCTGCATGCTGGTAAAATAGGCCTATATGCAATTAGATTTGATCAATAGTGTTCATACATTTACCAAATACCTTTTGGAATTACTGTTGGCCTGTAGCGCAACAACAACTTTATTGTGTGTGAAAAAAGTAATTTTTCCCTTCAAGCTCTTACAAAATCCTGGTAGCCTTAATGTGGGTGTTGTGTAATATCTGAAAGAAGGTTATAAATCTGTAGCCTTACTCTTCAATGCACGTCAACAAATGCATGCGCCGACTAGGCCTATGTCCGTGTGTCATTGTGTGATGAAAATCGGATCATTGTATGTCTGACGCGTGCACAGATGGCCCGGGAAGGCGCGCGCAGCCGGGTCGCATTGTTCTGAGTGTGACACCTTCTATGCGCGAGCTAATGAGAACAGACTGACTCTCGTTTTACCCTCTAAGCAGGTTTTTTTCTATTATTTTCTTTATAAACACCCTTAATATCATCTGTCTCTCATCCGTCCGTTTCAAGGCTCCAAAATAATTTAACCAATGGAAGGATTGACCCGGGACATAGGCTATAGAATGTGGATAGATAGATAGATAGATAGATAGATAGATAGATAGATAGATAGATAGATAGATAGATAGATAGATAGATAGATAGATAGATAGATAGATAGATAGATAGATTTTTCGGGTTTTAAACAGAGGGAGAGAAGATAGCCTATAGGCTACGTGTTTGATGAAATACTATACGCCCGGTACGCCGTTTTGTTTTTAATGAATATTATGTAAGACACGTGTAGAGACGACAGATTGGCTCTTTGCATGAAGGGTCATCGTCTAATCTGGCTACCTGAGTTTAAGGCTAATGTATTCGACCCTTCTCTACTCTCAGACATATGGTATACAGCGGGACTGATGGTCATTCGTTACAAAGCAAAGGTAATCCTTAAGGCCTGTTCACTTCCAGCATGGAACACGTAGGCTACACAAACTTATCAGCCTGTTTAAGATAGGCTATTTATCTTTTCCTAAACTAAGACATTTTTTTCTGATTGAGTGACTCAAGTTGAGTTCGACGGTATAGAATTTAAAAGTTGCAGCATCATCAGCGGAGTAAAGTTATGATCATTAATGTGAATCAAGAATTGGAAACGTTCACACACGCGCGAGCACACACATGCTATCTTGCTTTTTCCCACGGGACGAAGCAGACGGGTCGTAATTTGGTTGCCTTGGCCCGTCTGGACAAGCACCTGTCTCCTCTCTGGGGAGAAAGTCGCCTTTGGGCCGAGAGCAGAGCGGACTGTGAATGTGTGACAGACTTTTTCATGTTCTTTAAAATAGTAAAATAATAGTAACGGCAGTGAATTTTATAATGTCAAGCCATATAGTTCATTATTTCAATGCAGTTGTCGTCTGAAATGACACGCGTAAAAGTAGGCTGTTAAAGAAGATAGAGAACATCTTATTTGTACAATATCTTTAATTTCATATTGTTTTATACAAAAACTACAACAGACGAATCGGCGTTGAAGTAATTTTTTTTTTTTACTATTTATTCTAAAATAGTTATGAAAAAAACTGCGATACAAACCAGTGTCCTACTGGCTATTCCACTACAAAATGACGGACAAACCCCCGAATTAACAGGGTAATCTTTGGATATGTGGCAGATGTGAGATAATTTGTTCACTATAAAATTTCCAAAAGGTTCACAAGAATCACGTAAACAAATAATCTCTATAAATAGTTTCTAAAAGAAAAAATAAACTACTTTGAGATCATTTTTGGTCGCAGCAGAGAGAGCGTCTATGGGTAGCTTACAGACTTGGATGGGAATCAAGCAACTCTTTATGCATTTTACCAAATTATTTATCTGACATTGATAATTAGGCTATGTATTTAATTTAGTCTGATGGTAGCCTACTTTTAATTCATCACAAGTCATCTGGTACCTATAAAGCGCTATCTATGAGCACTATGTAAACAAAATAAACAATACAGTATAGCAATAGATCCTATCCGATGGGAAGTGCTTCTTGTTATCATAGGACAGGACATCAACAGCAACACCATAATAACCGTAGTGCACACACAGCGAAGGTCCTCCTAAGAAAACTGCCAATGAAAAGTGCAAATGAAAAGCAACAGTAAACCCAAACTCTGCGACATCAATAATAGTAAAACATTAAATATTTACATGTACGTAAACACTTTATATGCTATTTTAAGGGTACTCACATAACTTAACTTACTTCATAAATAAAATAAACCAAAAGAAAATAAGAAATAAATTAACAACAAGGTTACGATTTGTTCCAGCACAGATGTAGCCTAGGCTATACATTTACCCCCCCCCCCCCCCCCCCCCAGACGGATGGTTGCCTATAAAATCCGCTTGATTTATATCAAGATTACGAAAGTTAAATGTTATTTGTTTCGCTTAGGCCAATGATGTATCCAGTCCAAGTCAAATCTCTCCACAACAAATGAGCTTGTGCTTTTATGTGTTGAACAGGATAGCTACTCTTTGAATGGCTATCCTAAACTCTTGTTATAGTGTCAAAAACAACAAGCTTCACTTATTGCAACACGTAAAACTCTTTATAATAACCTGCATCAAGTAGCCTTGTTTTGTGGTTACTGAAACGTTTGAAAACACTGTCTAACAGAATACATACTTTATGACTTCCTCATATCTTTTTTGTTATTTTGGGTATCTTAAGGTCAATTCAATACCAATACATAGGCCTATTACTGAATTATAAAGTGTTACCCATTTCTCTTAATATTTGTGTGTTGTCACGTCAATAAAATATGTATTCTTCACCTGTAGGGTTTTGTTTCAAAATGCTGTATAATGTGCTGAAAGTTAATCTAAACGTCCAAAACGTGGTTAAGATAAGAAATGTAACAGATAGCAAGACGAAGTATTTCTATCTTGGACAGCTTCTTGTCGGGTGGAAGTGTTGGTAGCAGCTTCCTAAGCTCAGCGAATGCTACGTTGAACGCTTCCACTCTGATGCGCTCGCGCGTGGCATGCGCAGAGCGGTACTTCGCAGTCGCGCGCCTCCTCCGTCTCTTCTCCTCTCTAGTGAGCCCGGCTGGCACGAGTGCGCGAGTCTTGCCATCTTCGGCCTCAAAGGGCTCACGAGGCACACATTCCACCTTCATGATGTTTAGACATTCCGTGTCCGGCTGTGCCCAGGTGAGGTCCGGATCCGTCTGATCAGGACTCAGCATCATTTTCAGATCCGTTTGATAAAAGCTTCAAAAGTGCACTAATTGTTAATTGCCCTGGTGAATTAGACACAAATGATTTATGTTTTTCACATATGAATAGTAATCTGTACATATTAAAATAAATGTAATGCTGCCATTACACCTAGCAATTTTAACACTCAGTGTTTGCATGCTGCTTCATGCTATTCGTTTGTGTGACTTTAAAAACATTTTAGTAGGTCCTAAATGTTTGTAAAATGGTTGTCGTGTGCATTTTGCAATTTAGCTTATTCAGCACACATTACCATCAGTAGGATATTCACTGGTTCCATGCAAAAGTTAATGGAAATCAATTACTGTCACAAAACCAAAGTCATAGTAGACCATCTGTCGCAAATGCAAATGCAAAGCCTATAGCTCCCCCAGATGACACAAGTGTGCATGAAGTCATGGTGAATCATATATATATACATATTTTTTATTTATTTTTTTGGTTATAAGATGATTGAATTTTTTTTTTTGTATAACGCCACGAAGATTTGTTGAGCACACTGTACATTAAAACAAATTATATGTATTACAACTGAAAACGTACTTTTAATTGCTGTTTTAAATTTTAAAGAAAAAAATCAAAGCTGTGCCAAAGTGACAGCCTGCAGATTAGTTCATTGCACTTTTTCCCAAACACTTTAATTACTGATGAAGATCGAGTTGAAATTCTGAAAACTCATAAAGTAGACATATAGGCTAGGTTTAAGTAGACATAATTGCGACAGTTTAAACGAATGAAAATTAAGATGATGTTATGATAAAACGATGAAAATATACAATATCAATGTACATAATTATTTTGCGGAGCTGCCCATAATTAGGCTATAGACTGTTGCTATATAGCTAATAATTAAATTGAATTATTAACGCAATTTAATGTAACATTAACACTAATGTAAAGTGTTTAAAATAACCACAACATTTTATGAAATTGATTTGAAACTCACCTCTGTTGATGATGAATAGGACGAGAGTTTATTCCCCAAAATCCCCTTTATCAAATCTGTTTTAGTGTTTCATGTTCATCTGTCCATTGTGCTTTGTGAATTTTTATTTTAACATCAGCAACAGCATTTCTCAGCCTAATATTTTCCTCGCCACTAATTCCACTTATAACGCAGCCGGTATCGTATGATTCGTGTTGTTGTGTGATGAAATTTCCGTGAGCAGTCTTACAGATGAATGGATATTATAATAACAGGACCGGTAACGCACGCTCTGAGATGTGTTGCCCTCTGACCCGTGCGCGGATAACAATGGACACGAGTCCTCGGATAAGATCGATGCGACAAGAAAGTGTCGTCTTCGGCTGTCCTCCTTTCTGTTTCCCGCGGATTAGGAGAATATTGCTCCAGCCATCCTTACAACCACGCGTGCTTGTCCTCGTGCCTCTGATGATTTGAGAGATAACATTCCACTGGCTCCCTATAAAGTCTCGCTCTCTCTCTCTCTCTCGCTCTCTCTCTCTCTCTCTCTCTCTCTCTCCCTCTTACAAATCATTCACTTTATGCACTTATCCACGACAGTCACACCTCCGTCCCACCCCCTCTTTACTCTCTCCTTCCACTCGGCGAGTTCTTTCTCGACCAGATTGAAAGGAGCGCCTGAGGCTATAGTTTGGCAGAAACGAATGGGTTGCACGCCTGTGTTAAAGTGGTGCAAATTGTTTGTAAAAGTTTCAGCTAAATTAACTATTAAATGTTCAGTTATGATATTTTAAGAAAATCACTTTTATATGACGTTGGATTACAGCATTTCCTGCAGTGTAACATGAAGCATGTCTCTAAAAATTGTATAATTGTTAACGTTAATGTTATGTTTTTGTTTTGTTTTTTTGTTGTTGTTTTTTTTTTTTTTACAGATAGGCTATTGAGAGAAATATTTGACAACATACTAAACAAAATACACTGTAATACATCAGGGCTATTGAAAGTGAACAGCAAAACAGCTAAAAGATCATTAAAAATGGTGCAAAGTTTAAGGGGAATGGTAACCAGCATTAAAAATGCATACATTTATACATGCATTTTAATCTAAAAATGGTGGTTGAAAACATTTTACGTCCATGTTTTTTGTCAAGTACCTGTTTACAAATAGGCTATATATTGGTAGGATTTTGTACTTCAGCACCAAAAACAGTTTGCCTTGTAAAATGTAGGCCTACATGATCACAAGTTCATTCTACACATTTTAAAAACTGTTTTCACCAAATCTAAGCTCTCCAAAAGTCACAATAATGACTTGTCACAAGAATTGATGGGACGAATACATAAGAAATTATTATTCATCAACCCATGATCTTGCAAAGATCAATCCTTCTATTATCCAGTAAAAAAAAAAAAAAAGAAAGAAAGAAAAAGAAATCCAGTTAGTAATGATTTGTTGTAAAATGCAAGATTCTGCTTGTGTGATTTATAAAGAGGACAGTCTTGGAAAGCTTTGCTCTTCTCAACCAGAGACAGAATTTTAATAGGATATTTCTAATAAAAGATAAAAGGGACATGGGTGGTAAAAAAGAGGGAATGTATTGCCAAAGTTCACATAAAGACCTTTAATAGACATGTCGATGACAAATAGATCTTTCCAGTCTGTGCAAATGATTTAAAAAGACAGTTGTAATATAATCAGTAAAATGAATGTATAGTTCGATACCAAGTTTGATGAGAAAAAATGTCTTTAATATAAAATGAAATCATTGGAATTCTTCGGTATCCACATATCATCCTCAGACTGATTATGTTTAGACTATTATTGATCATGGCTGATGAGATGTGTAAGATTCCATTAAAACCCTCTTATTTCTGCCCTCTGTTTGTGAACAAAGTCAGCTGGTCCGCTATTTCCAGCAAAACACCCCTCTCCTCCTCACACATACACACATAAATACACAGAGTCAAATGTGAGAAAGAGGCATATGGCTTCCAGAGTCACCCATCCCCCCTCTGCTGCCCTTTTTTGCCTGGTGCATGTGTTCAGATCTGGGCATAGCTTTGGGAAGGGGGCAAGGACCTCACTGACTGAATTAAGGTCTACTCTATGTGTGTGTGTGTGTGTGTGTGTTAGGGCAGCTGGCTGATGTTGCTGGAAGGATGGAAAGATGGATGGGTGGATGGAGAGATGGATGGAGGCAGGATGTCTGACCCAGGGCCAGTGGAGGGGTATGAAAATAGTAAGACCCAGAGAGAGAAAAACAATGGAGGGGAGGACATGGATGCAGAAGACAACTGGGCATAAAGAGGGGAAAAGACAATGGGATGGAGTATTTTGACTGGAAAGAGACAAATGAAGATTATATGCCTTTTGGGCAATATTATTGGTATTATTTTATGTCTGGGCATGGATCTGTTAATAAAGGTTTTATGTTTGTATAATTTGGTTTAGTCAGATTATGCCAACTCTGAAGGGAACATGTGTTGTCCTGTGTGCTTGGTTTTAGGAAGGCTGGTGGAGATCATAAGTATTGATCTCTGTTGTTCATGGTGAAATAACAATGGATTGCAGCTCATTTCACGGCTTAATTCAGTCCAAGTATGCGGTCAATAAGAAGACCTTCTGCCGGGCCAAGCTTTGATTCATGTTCATTAAAATCAACAAATTTCCAATGCTTTATTTTGATGTGTATCACAAAATATTCACCATGAAATCCACTTTGTCTCCAGATTTTATGTTTACAAAAAATCCAATAGACTGCATAGCTGATATAAACTGTGTTTCTGCCTAATTTCTGTTTAGTCTTACAGATATGCATGTGTATGCATTACAGTAAGACTGTGTGCCATTTAGAACTGAATTGAGAATGCCTTTTACATTCCAGTACAATTCCTGAATTTGAATTAAGGTGACATGTATGAATAAGGAAGAATAGAATTAAAGTGAATTTCAAATCAAATACATTCAAGAAGAGTAGAAAGTCTTGAAAAAAGTTAAAAAACCTTTGATGTTGTTTGGAGGCTTACAGGCCTGAGGATAGATAGATAGATAGATAGATAGATAGATAGATAGATAGATAGATAGATAGATAGATAGATAGATAGATAGATAGATAGATAGATAGATAGATAGATAGATAGATAGATAGATAGATAGATAGATAGATAGATAGATAGATAGATAGATAGATAGACAGAGGTGCGCCATTCCTTGATGAATCTGTGTTTAAAAATGAATCGGTTGAATCACTGATTCCATGACTCACTCATAAAGACACTCACTATAAAAGGATGTCTCAATATAACAGAAAGAGTCATCAGCACTAATGCACAGACTGAAATCCTGCTGAATGCACAGACAAGCGGAGTGATACAAACTGTGAAAAGTCCCATTTGATGTTATAACTGAATTCAGAATAGCAAATTTGAGAACTAGTCCTAACTTGTATAATGTGGGATTAATTTCTTTGTTTTTGGCATTCATTGGGAATCCTCCTAATTAAGCAAATGATTACATGCTATTCATAGAATTGCAGTGATCACAATAACTTGTCACGGAGGACACATTCATTTAAAAGGAACAGTTTAATTCAGAAAATCATTTAATAGGATAGTTCACACAAAAATGGAAATTCTGCTATCATTTACTCATCCACATGAGAACATGATTAATTTTTTCAATGCCATTATAACCCTTTTCAGATCTGTTAAGTTTTTGGTTACCCGGACTTACGATGGAGGAATGAAAACCTCTCAGGTTTCGTTAAAAACATCTTAATTTGTGTTTTGAAGATTGACGATTAAAGTCTTATGGGTTTTAATGACTTGCCTCATTAAGTACAGTTCATAACTTCTATACTTTTAGAAGGCTGAATGAGCTTGAACATGGATTGTTAAACTGAGGGTAGTCGAAACTCAGCTGCATGACTGACCCAGGCACTGGATAGCACCCATTACAGCCCCAATGAGAGCCAGCTGCAGCTCATCAGCACAGGACACCTGAGCTCAGCCTTGGTTGGACATACTGCCCTTTACACACAATAAAACTCATGCACACGGATGCACAATGCTATACGAACATGCACATGCATGCATGTGATTCTCAAGGACACTATCTAATGTGGTTTTGGATATTATTGTTGGCGTTAATCTGACAGGAACACAAAGAATTACTATCCTTGTAAGAGACAGAGAGAGAGAGAGAGAGAGAGAGAGAGAGAGAGAGAGAGAGAGAGAGAGAGAGAGAGAGAGAGAGAGAGAGAGAGAGAGAGAGAGAGAGAGAGACGAGAAAAGATGAGCGATGGCATATATTTTGTTCTCTCTCACCTCTCCAGGGTGAGCTCAGATCAGAACAACTCCTCCTCCCCCATGAATTGGGATCAGGTGGGGATCAGCTGGACCTTCGAGAAGGGGGGCAGAGGGTTTATGTGTGTGTGTGTTTTGGTAGTGGTGCTGATGAGCAGGAGGGTAGGGTGCCAGGCCGGCCGGGGGCCAATGTTGCACCTGTGAGAGATCCTGGAGGCAAATCTGGGTGTAGAAGCATGGATATGATTGGAAAGGTCCATCTTTGCACCTGCACAGAGGCGATTGAAGAGTTTGACAAGCCCAGAAATGGAGAAAAAAAAAGAAGCAACAACCTAACTTTGGCTTTTCGGATACATCCAAGAAGCCCAATGCATCCAGGGTGATGTCTGTGAGTGTGTTGTATGCGTCTGTGAGGATGCACTCCTGGGCGGAAAGAACGAATTGGTCAGCCCTTTCCCCCGAGGACAATCTTTGAGGTGTAAATAACTGAGACAAAGAGGGAGTTAAGAGAGTACCCAACATCTTTCTCCTTTTTTGCTTTTCTCTGTCTCTCTATTTCCCTCCCACTTCGTCTCCAGGGACTGTACCAGCCTGGCTTGAACTGGACACCATCTGCTATAATGTGACAGAATGGAACCCCCAAATACTTTCATTTAATTCTGCTTTGTATGTGTGAATGTGTGTTTGTTTGTGTGCACATGAGAAGAGAGCTATTATCTCTGTTTTTTTTTTTAATACAGCTTTGTTTCTGTAAATATATAGACTTGTATACATACACACACACACCGGTACATGTGCATTAAAGCTGCATGGGTCATGTCTGCACCCAGAATTTGTTCCCTTGAGTCCTTTGTTGAATTTAAAGACCATCTGTTTTTCTCTAACAAGCTTTCTCTTTTTCTCTTTGTTATTTTAGCTGTGTTTCTTTGCGTTTTATTTGTTTAAAGTGTCTCTGTGATCCAAATTAAAGTGTTTTAGGCCTGTAAGGTTAAGAGAAATGTGGGAAATTCAGTACCATGGACAGTGCAGGAGAACCATATAAGGCATTGCCAGAATTAAAGAATTATTATTATTATATATAAGTATGCATGTGCTGAATTTCATAGGAGCACAAAAGACATTATCAGATTTCATAGTATTTTCAGTAGGTATGAAACAAATGCAAATGCAAAATATTTTCTATTAAATGCTAATTATTCAATTGAATAATTTATTAGCTTCAAAGCTGCTGGG